TGAGACCATGGAAGATTGGTTAAGGAAATGTTTAAAATGTTTGATAGTTACTACCTATACTAACACGGTGTATCTTCCCTTTCAGTAACTCAATCGTAAAAACTCCAAAATTAAGTGTGTTTGACTTGGAGCAATCTGCGTAGCCAAAGGCAGAAAGTTTATAGTGGAGTAATCTTGGGTTACTTAATGAAAACTATTTAATTAATGAGCTTAATTAATTAATTTTGTATAATTGAAACTTATAAACCGTAGGTCCTTAACTAGCTCATAAGAATATTAATGAATCAATTTCGTTGAAAGAAAATTGAGTTTGAAAATTTTCGAATTCATATTAAATGTATTTGGATACATTAAATAATAAATAAAATAATGAGTTAATGTATTTTATACCTTTAAATGAAATATTATATTTTATTTATGTATAAGATATACTCATAAAATATTTATGAGATTAAGATTTAAATAATATAAAATTTTAATATATGAAATATTAAAATAAGATATTATTTGGCTAAAAATTCTTACTCTAATAATGTATTTTATACCTTAAAAGAAAAATTATATTTTATTAATATATAGGATATATCAATAAAATATTAATTTGGGTAAGATTCAAATAATATAAAATTTTTATTTATGAGATATTAAAAGATATTATTTGGCTAAAGACTCTACCCTAATTAATGAATTTGACATTAAAAGAAAACTAATATTTTATTAATATATAAGATGTACGGCTAAGAGCTCAGTGGTAATTAGCTAGCATGTAAATCTCTTTAGAAAAAAGATATTTTGTTTGTCTCCTATAAATTACCATTAGTTCATGGAATAATCTTCTCTCTCTTATTGGCCACATTCTCTATGGTCATCGTTTCAAAAAGGAAAAACTGTCTTTGGCTTCATTTTGTTAAAATCAACGAATTTTAATGATATGGAGCGCTCTTCTTATCGTTTATTTGATTTTATACTTTTCTTGATTATCTTTGGTGTAAATATCATCTCCTCTCTTTTTATCAGTATAGTTTCGCCTCTCTTATCTAATTGGAAAGCTTTTTTTTAGCCCACTCTTAAGTCTCCCCTTTGGTATTAGGATAAAACATTTTTTTAGGTCAAATATACCCTTCCAATATTTAACTAACTACAAAATTATAATCTCTAATAATAATTAAATACATTAAAATATAATATTTAATCCATATCTTACCCTCTCAATCAATTTGAATGGTTTTGGTTTTGAAATTTGATTGAAATTCTAACAGCTCCTATTATTAAGAAATTGAACATAATTAAATAGTGTATTAAATAGTGTCAACGGCGGAAATTATAGGAATTATAATAAATTGTTACCAATTTATTTATTATTGTCATTATTATAGTGAAACTGATAACTGTTAAAATTCCACACGAAGTAAATAAATATAACATATTAGAATCAAATTTTCCAAATTAAAATTTTGGGTGAAAGAAGTTGTACTAGAAGATTGAAGACAAGGGAGGGGCATTCCGAACAAGACGGCAAAGATGATGGCAACAAATTTTGGGTGAAAGAAGTTGCACTATAAGATTGAAGACAAAAGAGGGGTCAATTCTGAACAAGACGGCAAAGATGATGGCAACAAAAGGTGACAATGAACATCTGTGCAGCAGCGACGAGCATAAATGACGACAACAACAAGCAACACTGTGGTGTCGACGACGAGCAATAAGACGATGACAACAATGCAACAATTGAAGAATACTCGTGAAATAAAATATGAGATTTGAGAGAAAAATAGGGTTTTTTAAACCTTGCTTAAGTTAGGAAGTTGTCCTTGAATTTTATTTTTTTAATATAAATATTGGGATGAGGTTGTATTTACAAAATAAATAAATAATGAACCTAGATTAAAATTATTGAATTTTAAATATACATTTTTTTTTGGAGAAAGGTCAAATATACACTTACTTTTTATAGAATTAAAAGAATAACAATAACAAAATTATCATGCACTACATTAATATCAGATTTTCATGTTTAAAAAAAAATCATAATTTTCATAGATGGTACAAAGTGGCCTAGTAAATTTTCATTATTTATTTGTCATTGACAATATTTCAAAAGGAAAATTCGTTTCCATATTTGTATTTAAGAGTAATAATTAAATAAAGCACAAAAATTTAAAAATAGATACAATCATACTAAATTCATATGATACATTAGATAAAAAAAAATTACTTTATTTTTTGTACTAATGAATCTAAAAAAGAAAACCTAAGTAAAGTAATATATTATAATTATAAAAAATTATTATAATTAATCAAATTTACCCGAAGCATTTTTAAATAAAGTTATTTCAATTAATAAAACACATATTACAATACTAAAAAAATTTTTAGTATTAGTCAAATTTAACTTACAGGAGACTAAATTAAAAAATGTAAAACGTAAGAAAATAAATTGAAACTTTTTAATTAAAAGACAAAATTAAAAAAAATAAACAAAGAACTAAAACATATACTTTCTCGTAAAAGTATTCAAACATTTAAATAAAATTGTATTATCTTTTTTTTTTCAAAATAAAACTACATTTATAAGAATATATAAAATTAATCATACTTAATTTTTAAAAATAATTAAACAGAATAATATTCCATCAATTTATTCAACATTTTGAATATTAAAAAAACACAGGCGTGCAAATAAACTTGAACCAACAGATTTCAAAAGAATAATACAAATCTCATTGCTTGAGAAAAATATGACAGAACAAAGTTCTACACGAATGAGTAACTAAAAATGAGAAAAATACAAATGTAGCCACTTGAAAAGGCAAAGAATAGCAACTTCTAATCTTTCTGGCCTAGGCAGAGACTCAAA